AAGATAGACTGTCGGTGTTTGAACACCGCTGTCTATGCAGCATTGCACGAATTTGAGCTGAACCTTGTTACCGAAACTCGTTTATAGTGCACACTTCTATTACCGTCTGCGCTAGGACGACGATTACTCAGAATGAAGTCCGAAAACCTTACCCTTAAGCTACAAAGTCAGCGGTCAACACTTAAGGCGCGTGGTTTCAATGGTTGAGTTAATAAACCATTATACGCCGAAGGATGAAATCACATCGGTGTTGTTGCACCGCGGTCTGTTCAGCGTTGTGCGAATCTAGGTAGTGGAACAACTGAACGTGGAAACGCCTGAAATCGTGCATCTATCTGGATGTTCAGTTTCATTGATTGTTGTGTTAAACATTTGTTTCACGTACTAACTGATAAGATTCAGTGTCTTGTGTTGTTTGTCTAGGCAGACGAAGGTTGAAAGACGGACAAGGACTGGTGAGACCTGGTACAAACCANTTCTGTGAACACTGGTTAGGTGGAGAACGTTGATGAGGACATTAAAAGTCGTGCGGTGAAATGGTGGAGATTTTTAATTAACACTACACCATACACGTTTTTTAATATATTATTTGGTTTGTTACCTTTATTTTGAAGGATGGGTAACGAGTAGTACAAATAAACTTTGACTACATTCACGCCTCGATGTAGCGCTTCTTCCAGCCATATTCCCAAATCTCAAACAGCAATCACTGTGACAGGTGGTTGGTGAGCCATGGGTTGCACGCCTCTCCTAACCGTCGGATGCAGCTCTAGCTTCCGCAGTGCGAAGCTGTAAGAATGTGCTTTTCATACAACAGTGACGCATTGAGCAGTGTTGACAAAGTTCAGCTTCTGTCTATTCTGGCAAACCATGGGGTCCCTCCACCTACGAATGCCCTGCTGAATAATTACTTTTCCTTTAGAAAACAGTTAACACGCCTCGGTGGCAAACTCTTCGCAACCTTAGCTTCCGAATCAGGGGTTTTTCAAGGAGCCATCCTGTTTCCTTCGTTCTATCCCGCTTACTTGGCTTCTATACTTGTTTGCAAAAACTAGTATTGATAAAGTACGCTGATGACATTATATTTGGCTTACCGTATCTCAACAACGCTGTTCTCCTCACTATCCTACTTGATATGCTACAACTTAATGAGTGATGCTCTACACGTAACCTCTCCATAGAACCATCTAACTATGTTGATATTTTATTTTCTCTCCGCCAACTGTTGTAAAGTAATTTTTTGACTTGACTAATGCAATGCACTAGAAAGTTACTAAATAGAATCCGATCTAGACCCGTCCAGTCGCTTCTGGAGCTCCTTTATTGTCTTGAAGCCCAAATAGACTAGTCGCGGTGAAATCCATTTGTCCATCAACCTGCTTGCGAAAAAACGTTCTACTCAATTTTGATCTAGGGTCTAGGCTCCACCATTTCTGTGCAGCGTCCTTCTGTGAACTGGATCGATTTTTGGGTGAACAAACCACTATCATCTAGTCCTGTTGTGCCTTTCGCTATTTTGAATAATCCTTTATCTCAGTTGACTTTTTTACTGATGTGTTAAATGCGTACATTTATTTCCACATCTGTTATTTACAGGTCCAAGTTTGAACAAAGCACTGGCCCGGAAACATCACGAGCATCTAACGAGATTCAATGTGGAGAATACAAGTAGAAAAGCCTAGTCGGCAACGCACACACATGTCAGAGCATAATTCGGTTTTTATACCCCCTTCTTCCATTTGTTTTACACCCAATCAATCGTCAGAGACGGAAACCGAACATTACATCATTCACATCCCCAATCGTTATTTGGCGATTTGTCCGGCGTGTCATTATTTGTTTGTTTCATGAGTTATCAACTACACAGACATATACTTTTCTGTATAACTTGAGCCCCTCATCCATAGATTTGAATGTTCTTTCTATCTTTCCTATACCCATCATCTGTTGCATGTCTTTCTGATCAGTCATTTTAAAGTCGATTCGTTGTTTTAATCCATTTCGACTATCGACCTTAAACCCTGTTATCCATCTTGTTTATCTTTCTTTTTCCGCACTTGGAAATTGATCAATTCTTCCTCGGGAATTTGTGATTCTCCTGATATTTCTTGTCCAACATACCGATACACACAGATATTCACACTGAACGAATTTTGCGTCATATGTGAGTAGGACTGTACCTCCTGGTCTCCGAAATTGTTATATACTTAGAAGACCTAAGTCAAACTACCGCTGCAATTAGTAGTCAAAAAGTGCAAATCAATACCATAGATTGAACCCATTTCCAGTGCACAAGCGCACGCATAGGTGGACTCCCGAGTNGATCTGTACACGCAACTCTGCCTCTATTCACTAACTGGGACACAGATAACAGCAAGATCGTCTGGGGTCAACCGAGTGAGTCTGGTTAGATAGTATTATACCAGTTTTTCAGTTTGTTTCAAAAGTGATTCAGAATAGTCATGCGGTTTGTTGGTTGGAATGGCATTTTGACCGGTCTGTGGTTGAACACGCAACCTTCTAACCTTACTGCGTTCACGGCCATACCGTGCCCTTGCTGTCCGTACATTGTGAATACATTCCTCCAGTCGTTGTGCATGAAGTAGTCACAGACGTGTGACTATACGGACCGATTAGAGTAAGTGATAATGTGCTCCTCTGTCCGGACCCTAAGTATTAGTTTATCACAGTACCAAACAAAAGTACACATTTGGTGTGAATGCTATTTCCTTATATTCATGGGTGGGAGGAAAGTTGTTCTTTTCTCATTGCAGAAGTTTCGCGAACTCAGTTTCATAAAGTAAGCAATGCTCGTTTCTTTTCTAGTGGACATATACGATATTATTATATTTCACACTTGCCTGAAAACAGACTGTGTGCCAAGAAAATCATGGTACGGTAATCTTTATAAAAAGAAAATGTTCCATGATTGGCTTTTTAGCTGAATACTGCCAGGTTTCCCAGGCCAAGGCAGGTAAATTTTCTTGAGGAATCCACAACCGGAGCCTTTGTCTAACCAAAGTCTGACCTATAGGGCAGCGGGGCGTTGTGTGAGAACCGCAGTCCATTGGGAGCCGGTGTCCAGTTCATCGGATCGTACGCCTTTCGGGCGGGGTCAGACATGCAAGGTGCCCAACACACCTCAATGCCCAATCGAGCAGGTGACCACTGCCATAACTGAGAAAGGTCTGGGTGTTTCGTACGCCTCCTCTTGGTTGGTTTGAAAACGGTTTTTGGCCAACTCCCCTAGGTGAACTGCCAGTGGTCCACCAACCCGGTTATAGCCCCGGATGTCGGCTTTTCTTCCTCTCACTTTGGTGAGAAAACCGCCGCGAGAAGGAAGTGAGTAGGGCTTCCTCAATAGGGGCTATTTGAGACACTTGGTCGTATGGGAGCATTTCGTGAGGTGTAAGGGAATGTCGACCAGGCACAACCCTAGACACCCACCCCTGACCATACAGAGGCTTTCTGATGGGCAAAGGTTGTTTCAGCCAGACGCTCCGGAATAATGTCTCCAGTTCGCGTTATTTTAACATTTCTGTATTTATGTGTACAAAGACAACGGATCCATTTTATCACATGAACAGATCTTTTGAACCCGAGAGAAATGTTTGGTTCGTAAGAACCCGTGGTTATTCAGTTTTATTGGTGACGACAAGCATAAATCCGGTCAGGGAAAAGAATTGCAGGCACTACAAAGAGGTTCAGTGACTGTTCACGTCAAACACAGGTGATAGAAGCCCAGGTAAAATCAGGAAACGCTGGAATATCCACCGCCTTTGTCTACAGGGGAGTTTCCTCGGTTATCAAGGAGGATGATGAACCGCTCCAGTTCCCCAAAGATGTTACTAGAAGAGCAAATAGGCTTCTTATCATGGTGATTTGAAGTTTTGAAGTCTTAAAGTAGTACTCGGGTTCAAGGCTTGCGCCCAATATTCCCGGTTCCGGATTTATCTTCTTTTCGGCAGTTTGGTGCACGGGCTGTTGACGGGACTGGGTGCTGGCTCCGATATGGTGCCGCTGGGTTAAGGGTGCATGCATCGTGAAAAAAAATCTAGATGAGAGCGACGATATGAGAGGAATAGTAACAGGGACAAGCGGGATCAATTAGCGGACCTGAGTGGAACCGGCTGGTACTTATCGTGCTCCCTGAGCACGCCTTAGTAAAGCATATCGACCACAACACCATATAGGCGGTTGGTCAGGAAGGGCTGATAGTTATAGCCAGGTGCCCAAACAATACTGATACGACTGGCATAAATATGCCGGTAGGAAAAGCTAACAACGATATAATACGCCTATTGTACAGCATAGTAGGCTTCCCGTCCCCGGGAAGAGAGGGAGAAATTTCGGCAGAATAGACTGCGAAGAACTCGACAGATCTTGGGCATAGCCTAGGACGCCGAACTTTATTGCCTGAGGTTTCTATGGTGAACCGACCTTAATGTGAGTGCCATGCAATTTGGAATTTTGAAGTGCTCTGGGTTTTCGCTAAAAGTATCGTTTTTGTAATTAAATAACGTCGGTTATTTCACAATTTCTACTCAGATTTAGTTTACCGGTGTGATACCGTTATCCGGAGTTTATATTCTCCGAAAAAACTTCCTGCTTCGCTTTTTACCATTTTATCTTTGTTGTTTATTTTACCCCGGACTTTACGGTCTTAGGAGTATTGTGCATTTTTCAAATGTACACTTTTTGTTTGATTATGCTACGAGTATCCTATCCGTGTCTCAACAAAAGTACGGTAATGGTGTATACGCCCTAACTATAATTAAGGGAACTGCGTGAGATGTGTGCAACAGATGGATCCATCCAAGGTACTCCGATGTGAGTGCACAAATGTATTCACTGTACTGCTAGAATGAGTAGGCCGAATGGATATGTATACGCTGCAAGAAGCAGCATGGCTTGCGTTTCAACGTGAGTCGCCGAAGGTAGAAACACCATAAATAGAGAACATCCCCAGATGTTCGGGAACAAAATCGCGGCCGCAGCGCGTTGGTTGCCAGCACTTCAGCGGAAAAAGTGTTAACGGAACTGTGGTGATTCAGGCTACGTGATGACGCCTACCCTGGAATGGCGCGTTACAGTTTCTGGACATCTGCGATCGATCAAATTTGAAAGGCCAGGTCAGGTCAGGTCGGGTCCCGGGACGAGCGGCTGATGCAAGGTACCGTCCAGTTTCTTGCACTCGTGAGCTGCGATCGTTTTGTCACAGTGCTTTGACAGCGTTTCGTATGTATTGTTTATCCTTCTTCGTCTGCGAAAGAGCAAGAGTGCAGCCCGTATACACTAACAGGAGGACCAATCATTCGGAGTTGTGTGGGTTCACGCCGCTTTTCCGACATCGCACACTCCCCCTCGTGGTCGATCCCTCCAGCAGGATCTCAGGCAGGTAAAAAGATTAAGGGGTGCTCCAGTATTAAATGAAAATTGGAGCAATTTA